GCTCTCTGCTCAGTAGAGAGCCTGATTCCCCCGCACCCCCGCCTGCCTCTCTGCCTACTTGGATCTCTCTCTGTCAAATAATGGTTTCCTTCAACCCACTAATGTGATAAGATTTCCTAGCGTTGAACTGCCTTTTCTTACCCCGCTTTCCACCACTTTATGGTCATGATATGTTGGTTTTTTAATATAATGAGAAATCAACTTGTATTGGTAAGTGATATAGGTTTATGGGCTTTTTCCTGCTGTTAATGTTCAGTTTTCCCTTCTTGTAAAACTTCTGGTATTTCTCAGTTAGCTACATGACCACACAGAATAATATTTCTTGTTTCTCTGCCGCTATTTGTGGCCACATGTTTCTGATTATCAGATATAGGCAGAAGTGTCATATGGCAGTTCTAGAAACCATACTTAATAGAGCTAGCACCTGGCCTTTGCCTTTTCTCACCCTTCCCTCCATCCTGCTTGCTGGGATACAGAATAATGGCTGCAGCTAGCTGTTGCTGCTTTACACGGTGAAGACATGGTAGCATCACAAGCCAGAAGTAGCCCGGATCATTGAGGCCATCATGGCTCTGTGCTGACCTGCCAGCTCTGGGCTACCTGCCTGCGGACATTTACGAGTCTTATTTAAGTCCCTTCAACCGTGGGTCTCCCTCCCTCACAGCTAAATCTAATTCCACCTGCTAGGTTGGATTTTGATATTAGGGCTACACTGGCTTCATAAGATACACTGGGAGCTTTTCAACTTTAGCAGCAACAAAGAGCAGAACTATTCGATCCTTGAAGCTGGGATAGAAACCCAGTATACAACCATCTCAGCCCGGCACCTTTTTAGTGCCATTTCTTTGCCAACTTTTTCTCAGTTTCTTCCCAAGGCTGTCGTTTTATTCAGGTAGCCTATATTTTCTGGAGCCACTTTGCATTTTAAAAAAGTTTGCAAATTTTTTAACACGGGAGGTACATACTGCAATATAACTTATCAGGCTTTTTATCTGACATAGTTCCTGGTGTTATGTATTTCTTTTTCTCTCCTTGTGTTTAGTTTGTTCTATTAAAGATGTGTCAACTGATGGGGTCCCTGGATGGCTCAGTGGGTTGAAGCCTCTGCCTTCGGCTCGGGTCATGGTCTCGGGGTCCTGGGATCGAGCCCCGCATCAGGCTCTCTGCTCGGTGGGGAGACTGCTTCCCCCTCTCCCTCTCTGCCTGCCTCTCTGCCTACTTGTGATCTCTCTCTGTGTGTGTCAAATAAATAAAATCTTAAAAAAAAAAAAAAAAGATGTGTCAACTGAACCAGTCTTTTCAAAGTACCAACTCATGGACTTACAAATTTTCCAACAGTTTTGCTTTCATATCAGTTAATTACTGATTTTATCGTCATTCTTATTTTGTTATACTTTTCTAGACATTTGGGGTGCCCAGCTCATTAGTTTTCATTCTCTCCAGTATGGTAATAAAAACACGTAAGACTATGAATTAGCCTCTGACTGCAGTACTGGCCACAGCACAAAGCTCTTTGCCATATATGTTCATTTTCATCAAATTTTAAAAGGTCTGCAATGAAGTTTTGGTTTCCTTTTTGAAGAATGTTATAAAATTTAAGTGGGCAGGGGGCACCTGGGTGGCTCAGTCAGTTAAACGTCTGCCTTCAGCTCAGGTCATGATCCCAGGGTCCTGGGATTCAGTCCCATTTTGGGCTCCCTGCTCTGTGGTGGGGAGTCTGCTTCTCCCTCTGCCTCTCTCTCTCTCATGAATAAATAAAAGCTTTAAAAAAAAACTTACAAGTGGTTATACTGAATTTGATTTTCCCTTTGGTATTAATTTCTTATCTTATTGCAATATGGTAGACTCTGTGGCTTGGGCAGTTTCTACTTGTTAAAATTTTACTGAGATTGTCTTTCTTTTTCAGAAGAACATATAACTGATTTTTGCAAATTTTCCATGGATTAAAAAATATATGTATTTTCTATAAGATATAAAGGAAGACGGTGGTAAACACTTTAGGAAGTAAATGCTCATCTCTTAACATGTTTCTGTTTTTATGTACTGGGTTTTAAATTTGGGTTTTAATACACACTGAAAACTATTTTAAAACCGAAATGAATACTTGATTTTATTTTTCTGCTTTTTTCCTACCATCTTCCCACAACTAAGCATAAGCCCATCCTTTTCTCAGTGCATCAGGATACAGTATGTCGAGGGTGCTGGCCCAGCCTCCAAGTGGCCCAGTCAGTGGTTGCTCATCTGAAAAAGGAAGCTGGTCCCATCCCATCACTTAAGACCCAGAGGTGATGGTTTCAAAGCTCCAGTCCTTGTCCACCAAATGGCAACCCCCAAGAAAAGAAGTGACTACATCTCACCTCGTGGGGCCCTCACTGAACAAACCCTGCGTCAGGGAACTCCAGCTTCCTGCCCCGTCTAGACATTGTCAAGGGAACCAAACGGAGGCGTCACTGGAGGAAGTGACAGTGGACGCTGATCAAAGGCAAACCAGATGTTTTGGTGTTTTCTGCTCCTTTCGTCTTGGTCAAGCAGGTGCTCCTCCAGATCCAACAAGAGTTTCACGGACCCAGGTGCAATGTCTTCATACTTTTCTAAGTACTCACAACCTCCAGAGTATTTCTTGTATGTTGCATGCAATGTTTTGGAAGGACTGGCTGGTATGAAAACCCTCACACTTAGAATCCTGTCTACCCGCATGGGGGTGAAAGGTGTCCCCATCTTACCAGCAACATTTACAGGAAAGCACAGTAGGTATCAGGGGTCCTCCCTGAGTCTTCATTCCCGCTTGCCTTTACTCCCTCTCTCATTTGACTGTCATTATGTTAAGTGTAGTTGGATCAACTTTGAGTCTACAAATTGGGGGCCCTTAGGTTTCCTAGTGAGGTCACGTTCCCTGGATTATTTCAGCCTCTCGGACAGTCCTGACTATGAATAGTCTTTGGTGGTCACAGTGGAGAAGACACTGACCCAGGAGACTCAGTCTCACCTCCACTTTGTAGACCCACAGGTGTAACTTTTTTCTACTCATGCCTTCCCTCCACAGAGCCTTTCCCCAAGCAGTTGTGCTACTTTGTGGTTTTTCACCTCCACACCCCGAGCCCCGACATCCATAGCTTGGATGAGCCTTACCGTGTTTTCACACAAAACGTTCTCCGAGCTCAGGAATGACCGGTGGGAATTATGAAGACCCGCTCTGACAGCAGTGGTTCCTGAGGGAGCGTGGCTGCCCCAGGAACAAGATCACGCGCACCTTGGGCAATGGCTGTCTATTCCAACTCTCCCCTGGTATGGGAAGTTGGGGCTGTTCGGGGGGTATCGGGCCACGGAGTCAGCAGAGCAATGTGGCTTGGGCAGGTCACGGCTTCCCTGTGCCTCAGCTTGCCTAGCTGTGAAGTGGGGATAACAAAACCCCCTCAGAAGGCTACTGTGAGGTCATTACTAAAGGACATTATAGTGGTCTGAGTTGGTCTAGAACATTCCCTGATATTTTCACTTTCCATAAAGGAATATAGGATTAGACTATGATTTACCTTGGACTTTTGGGCCTTTAAACACTCACCTCGTTCCTAGGCTGCATTCAGCTGCAAACGATTTCCTGTCCCATGATTTCGTCTTCCTGCGATTCACCTCACCAAAGCCGAGGCAGTCGCTGTGAACAGAGGTGGCCCTGGGCTCCCAACAGCTCCCTGAGAGTCTCGAAGTCCCTTCTCGGCCCAGGGGATGGTCATGAAGATGGGAGTAGTTCCCTGTTCTACACACACGTGTACGTCAGGCTCTACGAGGCACTAGGCCCTGGTTTGGGGCTGGGCTGCCAAGACCCCCAGCAATCCGGTGGCTGAAGACAAGTCCCTTCCCTTCTCTCTCCTGTGACAACCCAGGGCGGGAGGTGACCTGTTCTGCTTACACATTGTGGGAGTGGGGACGGGGGTGTCCTGATGCTCTGCCATCCCTGATGGCACCGAGCTCCGGCGCCGGCCAGGCCGGGATGCAGGCCTCCTCCTGGTCCAGCCGTGCAAAGGGGCCTCTGTCCTTGTCACAGGACCACACCCAGCCCCAAAGGAGTCGGAAGTAAGTCCCTAGCAGGGGGGCCATGGGTCACGGAAGCCTCATTTGGGAAAAAGAAGGGGTCATCTGAAAGGGATCGTGGGACCCCAGGTTGTTGCGATCTGTCACAGCCCAAATCCCTGCCAGCACGCGGACGTAATCCCATCCCCCAAAGTTTTAAGAGGACAATTCAGACTCGGACTCCAGACCCCGAGACAGCAGTGAGGCGGCAGAAGTGAGGCCGGGGTTCCACTCCCCACCAGCCACGGGAGCAGGCAGGCTCAGGCCACCAACTGGGCGAATTCCGGCACAAACTCTTCGGCTTTTCTACATCTGATTTCTGATTTCCCTCTTGCCTTTACTCCGGAACTGACAGCACGGCCGAGCGTGGGAGCCAGGCCCCACTTCTGCGGGAGCTCTGACAGCCCAAGGGGGCGGCTGCCTACGGGGCATTTCCCGAACAGGATACGGTCACGGATTCACGCTTCAGACCCCTTCCTTCCCCTCCCCTCCCCGTCCTCTTGCTCACATGGGAGAACCCGACAACCCCGAGCCTCCGATGGCGGATGGTCCCCACCCCCGGCCACACAGCCGGACATCTGTGCTCTCCTTAACCCCCGACGGGAGGTGCTGGCCAAGAAGGGGCAGGAAATGGCAGCCTGAGGCCCTTGTCTGGGCCACTCAGGATCGAATGAAATGAAAACGAGAGCACCACGGCGCTGGCGGGTCTCCAGTTAACAGCTGCGCCCTAAGAGCACTTGTCCTATTTATATCCGTAAAAGCGCTTTACTGAAGAAGTGATACAGCAATGTACCTCCCAAACCTTTGCTCAAAATTCTTATTTAGTTTTTTTTAATCATTAAAACTGATTTCTACCTTTGTAATGTCCCAGAGAGTACGGACTCTCTGTTTCCCGATACTCTGAACACATCATCAAAGACAGATCACTGCTGACGTCCGGGGAGCATAAAAGGAGATTTATAGACGAGGAACGTATTCTCCGGGAGCCAGACTAGAAATGACCCCGTGAGTAAGTTGTATCGGTTTCACTGGTGAAGCCCCGGGACAAAGCAGGGCCTGAGTCAGGTCAGTTTGCCCTCCGCGTCCCATGTCACCAGATGCGGTCCCAGGGCGATGGCAACGCGGCCGGGCGTGGGGGCGCAGGAGGGACATCGGCCCGGCCACCTTGCTCAGGGCTGCCCGGAGGCAGGGACTGTCGGGGAAGGCCGTGTGGCCTGTAAAGCTCACAGCTTATTCCTGAGGCCGCGGCCACCATGGACCAACCGGATCAGACGGAGGAAACGCGCTGCAACAGGCTCTCCGCGCACCGTGAGCCCCGCTGGCTTCACCTCGGGGGCAGGCCGCGCCACTCAGAACCCACCCACCAGCAACAGGTCCTCCTGTGACAGCCAGGAACGCTCTGTTCCGGTTCCCTCAAGTCCTGGAGTCATCGCGAGAGCCGTGGGAGAACTACAGAACAGATTGGAAAATGCCACACGGTTCCAGCGGACGCCGCCCGGCAGCCCTCCTCGGACGGTGCCCACAGACGTCATCGACAACCGTCGGCTTGTCACCGTCCCCGCGCAGCCACTTTCTGCCAGGGCCTCAGCTACACCCACTGGCCAGGTGGGGAGGGTTCCCTTTGCCCCCAGACCCTCACCTCCCAGCCAAGTGCTGCCGCGGTCACAGTTTTACTGCTCCTTAACAGGCCCTGTGAGCCGGGAGCCCGAGGAAATCGTGCTTTCTGTGAACCGATCTCGCCGCCCCCAGTTAGGAGGTCCTGATGCACTGTAGGGACCAGGTCTGATGAGACGTGCCCCACCGGAAGCGGAAGCCTCGGGGAGATGAGGAACAACAGTGATTGTACTGAGGGGTCGGATTCATTTCTGATACAGAATCACCTTGAAAATAAGCCTATGCTGCTGGCTTCGGCTCCCGTGAGCACCGCCTACCCACGGCATGTCCGCTCGGCCTCGCTGGCCGTCCACACCGCCTGCTCCCGGGCTACACCCTGCAGAGCTTCAGCGGAAAGTTCTCCGTGATGAGGTGATCCGCGTGAAGCAGCACGACGATGTTGACCTCAAATTCTGACAAGAGAAAGAACAGGCGTTAGGCTGACCCGGCCCGGCGGCCGACACCCCGTGCCCACTGCACCGCGGGGGCTCTGAGAGGGGGGGGCACTGGGTGCTGAGGGGCATCTCTGGCCGCATCCCAGGTCCGTCACCCCACGCTTCCAGGGGAACCAGCGAGGGCGGCGACATCGGCCTCTGAGCGCCCTTGGTGCGCTTTCTCTGAGGAAATGTGTCTCCTTGCCTTGGGAGAGGAAGGGGGTCTGCTTCCCAAGCACACCTCATTGTCCTCTGTCTTTACTAGAATCTTCTAAAATTCCTTCTGTTCTTTCATACTCTTGCTTTATTTTTCCACTTGTGACTTTCTTTTTTTTTTTAAGATTTTATTTATTTATTTGACAGAGAGACACACAGCAAGAGAGGGAGGACAAGCAGGGGGAGTGGGAGAGGGAGGAGGAGGTTTCCCACTTAGCAGGGAGCCCGATGTGGGGCTCGATCCCAGGACCCCGGGATCATGACCTGAGCCGAAGGCAAGGCAGAGGCTTAACGACTGAGCCACCCAGGTGCCCCCAGCTGTGACAGTTCTTATCGGAAGAACCTCTCCCTCTCCCCCTGCTTGTGCTCTCTTTCCCTGTCAAATAAGTAAGTAAAATCTTTAAGAAAAAAAAAGAAAGAAAAGAAAATGACCAAGACATCCTAAGCTGGTGGAACGGCGGCCTTCACGATGATCCGCGCCGCCCTGGACTGTCCCGCTGCGTCTCTGCTCAGATGCCCCCTGTCCGAGGAGCCTCCCTGACCCGCACGCTGCCCGCTGCCTCGCTCCGCAGCGTTACTGTCCCTGCCCGAGCCGCGCCGACAGGGTGGCGCTGTCTCCGGCGGCTTCTCGGGGAGCTTCTGTTGCGCGACCGGGGGACCGAGTGCCCTGCGCTGAGCCGGCCCCAAGCAGACCGGCCTGAACGCCTCGGGGACGCTTGGGGGCCCCACGCTCCCGGGCGAATCGGGCGGGCCCGCGGGCGCGGGGCGCTGGCGCGCTTACCCACTTTGAAGTTGGTGGTCTCCAGCGTGGGGCAGGTGAAGAGCCGGGGGAACACCATGTGGATGGGCACGGAGAGGCCCCGACACACATCCCCGTCGGCGATCTGGATGTTCTGAATCTCCGTGGCGTCCCGGGCGTAGCCTTCTGCACACCCTGCGGGAGGCCGCGCGCGGTGCGGTTGGAGAACACGGGCCCTCCCCACGGCCCGTCGATCAACAGGCCGCTGGTCACACTTCTGCCACCTGCTCCACAGGATCTAGGGCTCCCTCCCCTCCACGTCTCACTTTCTCAGACGCTTCTTGGGATCAAGCGGCGCGCCCCTCCTTCGGCCCCCACCCCCGCCCCCCCACGGGCCACCCTTACCGCAGGTCTCCACGCGGACCAGCTGCAGCTCTATGCTCTTGATGGCGGCCTCCGAGCTCTCGACCACCAGCTCCCCCGTCAGCGGCTGCGTGATGACACAGTTGGTGGAGTTGAGGTGCCCTCTGATGAGAAATTTGGGGAGCAAGGCTCTCTGGAAGGAGACAAGGGGCGGCGGGAATGGAAGGTGCCAAGGGAACTCACTCCAGAGGCAGTCACCGGGTACAAAGAAAAACTAAAAACAAAATTGGGCAATTTTTATAAAACCCGCTGGGCCCCTGTTTTACAAAATGGGAAAAAGGTACAATAGTCCTTATATCTCCTGTCAAGTCGATGAACAGACTGAATTATTCAACAACCGCCTGCAGACACCCGGCGCCGACGCTGCCTGGCCGACCCGCCAGCTCCCCCAGAGCCGTCCCGACTGCCTGGGTCAGATCTGGAAGCTCCTTCTCACCAAGCAACACGACCTAGAAACTCCTGAGCAAGCTGCCAGCAGTGTTTACAGGGAACCGGTCACACACACCCCAAAAATGTTTTAAAAGAGAATCAACTGAAAAACGCTCCCAATTATACAATTCTGAAAAGCCAAGATTCTTCCTTTTATTTCAAGGACATTTAAAGAGAACAATTTTCATCAGTGCTTGACTAAGACCTTCTGGACCTTTCCCCTGTACACCTAGGAACCTGGTCACGGTTAGACGATGATGTTTTTGTGGGACGCGGATCTGAGGCGTCAGAGGCAACTGTTCTAGCACACGTCACCCAGCTGGTCCCAGGTGCCAAAGGTATGTCAGAGTTTAGAACACCACCGTCTCACAGAAGCAAAATGTGGCCACACATGTGAGCCACAGATGTAATTTAAAATTTTCTAATAGCTGTATTTTTTTAAAGATTTTTATTTTTTTATTTATTTGACAGAGAGATCGAGATCACAAGTAGGCAGAGAGGCAGGCAGAGAGAGAAAGTGGGAAGCAGGCTCCCTGCTAAGCAGAGAGCCCGATTCAGGGCTTGATCCCAGGACCCTGAGATCATGACCTGAGCCAAAGGCAGACGCTCAATCCACTGAGCCACCCAGGTACCCCTAGTAGCTGTATTTTAGAAAGTAAAAGGAAACAGCTAAAATCAACCAATATATCCTAAACACCACTTCCACATGTGATCAGTATTAAAACATTACACTTATATTCTCTTCCTCTTTGAAATCCAGTCAGCACCTTACACCTACGGCTCAGCTCGGCTCCGACCAGCCACACCTTGAGGGCCAGTGGTCACTGTGGCTGGTGTTTGCCCATCATCGGCGCTGGAAATGGAGAGCAGGGAGCTCTGTACCTCATGGCCCCAGAGGCAGAGAGGTCTTGATTCAAGTCAAAGAGAAAAGTCTTGATTCAAGACAAAGTTCTAACAACAACGAAAAAGTAAAGTAGCTATTTGTTTAGAAAAATAAAAAGCAGTTGCAATCTATATTAAAATTCTTTTAAGACAACTGGTGAGAAAAAACTTTCAATATCCGGCCAAAGATCCTGACTGAACATTCAATTCACCCTCCCCTCCCAGGGCAAAATGTTAACATAGACAAATAAAATAAACTACGCCAAGAAAGTCCATGTGGGACGCCACGAGGAAACACCCCAGTGAAGAGTTTCTGTGCATGAAAGTGCTCAGGGAGGCTCCCAAGAGCTCAGGGGATCATGCCCTGAGGTCCGGGGCACAAGAGTGTCCCCAGCAGGGGGCAGCCCTGAGATCAGGAGTGGCGCCCACCCAGGGAAGGAGCAGTCAGTGAGGGGGGCATGAGTGGCCTCTGGAGTCAGCATGTGCCCAGGCTGCCACCACAGCTTTCCTCAAGGCAACTCCCCCACTAGGACACTCCCAAAGCAGGTTGGGCAAGGCAGGGCAAGTGTCCGCAGTCATTTACAGCCACAACGCAGGATGACGCCCTCACCCCAGAAGATGAGCTACCAGCACACCCCGAAGAAAGCCCACAAAGTCAAACACGTGTTCCCCAGCAGCAAAGCTCCTGTCAGAGTGCGTTCATAACCAGAAGGACAGACTGTCATTCGGGCTAAGGACAGACACTCTAGTCAACAAGGCCATACGTATTCGATCTTCATCTATAATTATAAGCTGACAACCAAGAATCAACAAACAGCTGAGGAAAATAAAAGCAAGAAAGATGCACACCCTCTGCAAACAGAATAACCAGCCCTAGAGAGAGATGAAGGGCCGTGCATCTGCAGTAAAGGAAGGGGCTATCTTGGAAAAGAAACCGCTCGGAGATGAACGATGCTCTCGCTGAGGGAAACATGTCAACAGTTGGGCGACATACCAACCGAAGAGTAAACAAGTGAGCTCAAAGACCGTGCCAAGATTCTCCTTGATGCCTCTAAGAAACACCAAGAGAAGTTCACAGAGCTGAAGGAAAGATGGCAGGCACACTAATTAAAAACCCAAATCTGGCAAGGGCTTTGAAATTCCAGAATGGTAAGGATGGGGGGGGTGCTGGAATTTTCCGGGCTGGGGGGAAGGGAGAAGGAGGAGAAACAGAGGAGCTCACAAATATTTGGGGATCAGATCGTCAGTATCACAAGGTACCAGAAAACCAGGGAGCTCCTCTCCCAAGTTCAATGGGCAAATGAAATTGAAGCCCAGAAGCTTCCATCTACCTAAACAAACTAGGGTTCAGTGTGAGAGCAAAGGCAGGTGTCTATTAGACACTCAAGGATGTAAGTTCACTCCTCATCCTTTCAGAAAGAATGATTCTAGGATGTGCTCCAGAGGCACAAAAAAATACACTGAAGAAAGAAAAGAAGGTGAGAGAAAGCAGAGGAGAGCAATGACCACGGTGAAACTTCCAGTAATTCAGTGTTGGCTAAATCATGACTGTTTACTTCAGGCAACTACGAAAAATCATTTCTAAGCCAACAGAGGCTTCATACTGGGAAAAATAAAACAGATAAACTGGAACTTATATTTCAGACCATTTCAACAAAGGAGAGGGGTATGGTGGGAGGAAAATGCAAAAATGTTACAAACCTTCTGGCAGAAGGTTCTCGTTCTCAGTGTTGTTACTTAAACTCATGAGTGTCTCTGTATGTTCGAACGTTTGGGGGTGACTATTAGGAAAACAGAAAAAGTACGTGAGAGGAAAAAGAAGCAACCATAGGATAACAGACCTTAATCAATCAGAGTAAGGGGGGGGGGGACAAAGAAGAAGAAAACCAGTAAAGTAAAGCAGAGACAAGATATAGGGAACAAAACAAACTGTACAAAGTCCCGCCAGGAGGTCTTTATAAGACACACTTGATCTGTTCCACTCTCTTCCTCACTCCAGCTCTGTCACTAGTTTTTGTGTTACTGAGATTCTTGGGAAGGAAGAAACACAAACCCACTTAGGGGCATGAGCACTTATGGCGGAGCTAAGAGCCGAGGCACAGGCGACCACCTGTGCTCCCTGGGTGTTTCCAGTCCCATTCAAATCTCTGCGAGAGACCAAGCTGACTGGCCCACAGGGGACTTGTCCCCTCCGGTAGATGGACTTTCAGAGATGCCCCCCAGGCCACACCCGTCTCAGCTGTGCCTCCCCAGGCAGCGAGAGGCCTTCCCCACTTGCCGGTCAACATGGTCTGGAGAGCAGGGGGAGAGGCTGCGGCCTCCATGACTAGAGCAGGCAGCCAACTGCGAAGTAACGGGCTGCGGCTCCAAGGACGGGTGGTGGGGGCAGCCAGGGCTCAGGGAGAAGGGCTCTGAGCCCCACGTGTTGGGCCGGGGAGAATGGCGGGGGGCGGGGGGCGCGGAGCACAGCAGGCAAGTAGCCTCCCCGAGCAGCTTTTCAGAAGCATTCTCCCCCTCAGAACTTATGGAGTTTAAAAAGAAATCAGAATTGAAAATCCAGACTACTTTGGGTATCAACAATAATCCGAAATTTCATCTCAATGACTTGATACCCAAGGGGAGAACTAGGCCACGGGGCGTCTGCGGGAGGCAGCGGCTAAGCGGATACCCCAGCCCGCAGAGCCGAGGGGCGCCGTACCTCTTTGACGTTCTGCAGGGTTTCAGGTGTAATGGTGAAGTCCACGGGACTCGGGGTCAACTTCCCCTTCTGAGGCTAAAACAGGAGGCAAAATCCAAATCAGCTGCTTGAAGCCAAGAGCCCCACAGGCCAAACTCCCCTTTCCCCTTCTAGAGAAACAAAGGGTAGTATAATGAACTGGGAAGGACTTAGTACTCAGACGCAGGTCGTGTGGGATCCAAACACACAGTTTTGCCAAAAATCTACATTGTGTTCTTTGTCAAATTTCTTCATCCCCTGTGACTCAGTTTCCTCATCTGTAAAATGAGGGGACTGCTAAAAAAAAAAAATAATAATAATAAAATAAAAAAATAAAAATAAAATGAGGGGACTGCTTTCTTAAAAATCTCTTGGGGCCCTTTTGGGTCCAGAAATGAAAAATTAGACCTAAGAACTGAGAGTAGCATTCATGGAAGGTATTTATTTTAAACCCCTCTCTTAGAACAAGAGCTGACACCGAACTAGCATGATGACCGAATCGGGTGCTGTCCCTGTCACTGGTCCCATTTCATAGACACAGACAGTGAGGCGCGGTGAGTTCCCATGGCTTTCTCCAGTGGCCGAGCCGAGATTCAAACCCAGATGGTCCAGCTCCAACGCCCGTGTGGTTAGCCACTCAGCAGTCCACCTGGAAGGCCCGCTCCTCTAAACTAGAACTGTTACCATAATTACGAACGATGGTCCTCACCACATCACGTAACCGCAGAAGCCACCTGGGCGGCCAAGCGTCACCAGGGCCTGCCTGGTGCGGCGCGCTCGGGTGCCGGGACCCACAGGCCGGGGGGCTGCGGTGGAGAAAAGGCACTGGCCAACCCACCAAGTTTACTCATTTACCAAAGCACATTCTACAGTATTCTTCTTAACAGGTTCGTGAACACAAGCTTTGGGGAACACATTCTTCCTTACAGCATTTAAAGGAATATTTGAGTTGGCAACTGGAGATCACACGTGGTCTGGCCTTCTCTGAAATCATTCACAAAGAACAGGCTTCTTGGGAGGCTGTGTGACGGTAAGCTGTTGAGAGGGGGCCCCGGGACCTCTGCCCCGCTACGTACCCTGAGCTGGCCCTGGGGTGCGGAGCCTACAATCCTGAGTGGGCTGTGGGCCCTGGGTCGGGGGCCATGGGGTGTCCTCAGCTGTGCCTCCCCAGGGAGCGAGAGGCCTCCCCCACTTGCTGGTCAACAGGATCCAGAAATGAAAAATTAGTCCTAAGAACCGAGAGTAGCATTCTCGGAAGGTATTTATTTTAAACCCCTCTCTTAGAACAAGAACCTGGAGCCCAGCTCTGGACAGGGAGCTGAATTTGGGCTCACTCTCCTTTACAAAGTTAGAGGCTCTTTTTGCTGAAAACCTAAAAGGGTGTGTCTCTTCTCGGGACTAATCCACATGAAAAAAATTTTTTTTCCTTCAGTTTCAAGACCCTTCATAAAAAAAGGAAAATACCTAAATCACATCATTTCCAAAAAAGATAATTATTTTTAATATTTTGTATGTCACTAAAAGAAACAATGAAATACAGTAATTATTATTAGTAAGAGGAAAACTATAAATGTTGGAAGTCCCAAAAAGTCACAAAAATGATGCAAATAAAGGACATCAGTGATTTTGCCAATCTCATACACAGGAGACATAAGTCTCCCGTTTTTCCTGAACCATTACTAAAAGACACCCACGGACATTTCGTAACAGTGTAAAAGAAATGCAACTGCAAATGTTCTATAAACACCAACCTACCTCACCAGGGAGCTCTGGAGAAGCCCCACTTCCTAAGGCCCGTGGCAAAGACTATGGGACCCGTGTGGGGTCCCCAGGTCGCTGAGCCCCGCTCAGTGCCAACAAAGCTGTAGGCCACACCGGGTACGTGACCCAAGGAAAGCCAGTGGCTCTTGTGTCTGTCCAATCTGGGTGGCACCTCGGACACAGCCTGCAGCCCCAAGGCATCCATACACACATCCAGTCCCTGTTCACCTGGGCACCTCCAGGAACCCCAATCTGGCTCTCTCCTGTCCCCACACTGCTCAGAATTAAATCAAAGGCAGATGGACCACGTTCTGAGTCCAGGTGGCTCTTCAAGGAGGGAACCAGGCTGCAGCCCAAGAAAGAGGGGGCGGGCCAGCCCCGAACCAGAGGTGTGGGCACACAGCCCCGGGAGGGCAGGGCAAGGCCCAGCAGCTGCTCTGACACCGGACCTGGAAAGCCCGGGGACACAAAACAGGGGAATCCAGTGCGGTGGACATCTGTCACCACGTGTCACACCTGGGGCAGGTGCTGCCCGTCACTGCTAAGTTCTGCACGATGACCGAGTTGTCGAGCAGATGGGCTGCAGAATGAGGTCTCTGCCTTGAATTTACCCAGGGTCGCCTACAGCCGTGGGGAGGGGGGTCCAGTTCAGCTGACACGTGAAAGTGATTTTTTAAGAACATTCTGTCACGGTAAGATGTGAGCAGAAGGTGTTGGGGAAGGCAACCCACCCTGGCCCCAGGTGTCCCTGCTGTCCTTGTCGGGCAGAACAGGACTGTGGGGCTCTGACCATTCTTTATCTGGGCCGGGCCACGGCTCTGGGCTGTGTTTGCCGCAGCAGCAACCATGAGGAGGGGTGTGTCTCTCTGAAGCAGACTTGCTCACTGCTCACTTGCTCTGAGGGGGGCTCCCCGTGTGGTGCTTCCTGGCTGAGGCATGAGCCCCCCCGGGGGGGTTCTGGGCCTGGGGGAACGAGGCACACACCGATGCTGGTACTCTGACCCGGCCCGGAGAAACAAGGTCCCTCATGTCCCACCCGGGAGTCTCTTTCCCCAGCAGCCACGACACGGCACCAGGCTGACGTATCAGCTTCGAATTGGGGTAAGATACCAGACCCTACAGAAGATTCCTGTGGCCAAGCACGGAGCCCCCCAAATACAGCTTACAGCAGAGTGAACGATGAATTCGCAGGTCTTGGTCAAGTCCTTGGCCAGCAGAGACCGCCGCATGTCACAGCGTAGGGTGTACTGCAGGGAGAAGTTGGAGAAGAAGACGCCACGTTAGTGTGATCTGCTTTCATCGTGGAATTATATTCGGAGAGACAAAGAAGTCAATGTACTTTAGGGAAACTTGGTCCAATTACCGTGTTGTTTGAAATTAATATATTTAATAGGGGGAGCCAATGCTCACAGTGAAGGCATTTCTACAAAAAGACCAAAACTAAGAACACTTAAGGTGGTTCCACAGCCTAGTCCCACAGTTGGACCCACCAGTACAAAGGCACAGTCTTAGCTGTAACACAGGGAGAGACTCGGGGGGCAGGGACCTGATGGGGGCACAGAGCAGAAAGAAGACGCCCGCAGAAGCGAAAGCCAGCTCCAATCCGGTGACCTGTCTCACTGCGTGAGCTCTGGCAGATGAGGCAACTCGCCTGGGCTTCGGCCTCCTGCCCTGTAGAAGGGGGATGTTATGCTTCAGGAAGAGCCAAGCGAGATGCTCGCTGTGTGCTGGGCACTCAGCACGGGGTCTGGCGGAGAGCAAGCAGCTCTCGGTAAAGCAGCAGCTACTTTGTCATTAGGAGGAGAAAGCGCTCAGGAAGGACCGGGAGCTCCAGGACTGCATCCGGCATTCCACGGAGCAAGGTAAGGCAGGCAGCACCACACTAGCTTCTAAACTAGCTGTGTTCAGTCTCTCTGCCATCCCCGTGCTCGTTTTCTGAACAAGCCACTGCGGGTGTACCACCCACCGCCGCCCCAGGAAGAGCCGGCTCCCTGCCAAGCCGGCCCCAGAGCTAAGGGCTCTGACCCAGGACGCTTCTTCACACTCCTGTCTATGGACGGACAGACTGATTGGTAACAAAATTCTACAGGGCCATCACGGTCTTAATGCTAACCTTCAAAAAAAAAAAAAAATCACATAACACATACTGAATAAAGTTAGCTGTTTTTTTAACCATCCAGGTAAAATTTCAGAATTCTGTTAAAAATGATTTGTGTATCTCGGACTAAATGCATGGTTGAATCAAGAAGCTACATTATTATGAACAAACTAATACATTATGTGAGAGGTTACTAGACATTCAAGGTACCATCAGGAGATTAAAACACATTTTTAAAAAAATTATTTATTTATTTATTTTGGAAAACACTTTTTAAACAGAAACATCCCTTGTCTGCAAGGACCTTTTCATATATACACACACACACATATATACACATATATGCATACATACATACACATACATATATACACACACACACACCTACACACACACCGATATATATATATACACACACACACACACACCTTTCTGGGATTTCTACCTGGTCTCCCCAACCCAACAGGCTCAGTGAGGCCTGGTGCTGTCAGATCCGTACAGGCATGTGTGCATACAGGTGTGTGTACACGCAGGTGTGTGCACGCGGAGTACATCTATGTAGGTGTGTATGCCCGGACGTGTTTCGTCGTTCTCCTGCACAGCTCACACGCTGTCTGGCACGGGCGACATTCTGTTCAGGCTTGCCTGGTGTCTCGGAATCTTGTCCCAGTGGGAACTTCCCCTTCCTCGTTCTCCAGTCTCAGGGGTTTGGCGGGGCTGACCCCCCCCCACCACACCCCGAGCCCTCCTGGGGAGAGCTGCTCCAGGTACTGTTGGGAAGGGTTCTCTCTGCCGGGGGAGCCGGCCCAGGAGATGGTAAGCCCGAGGCGGCTTAACCCAACCATGGCCAGGAAGAGGTCTAGAAGGAGAGCCCTAGAATGAAAGAGGTCTCCACAGAAAGCTGAGCTGGACCCAGACCCAGCTTCCGCTTCCCCTTCCCTGGAGCTGCTGGCTCTGTGGTCCGTGATACTCTTTTTAGGCTAAGGCAGTTTGAGCCGGATTTCTACAACTTGCGAAGGAGTGAGAACAGGAATCAACTTGTGGTTACAAAATGTTTCTGAGCACGGAGGCCACCATCAGTCATCCAGGGCAGCTGCTAAGTGACGGTGGGGAGAAAGGTGGCCAGAGAGGAACACGCTGGCGTTCCGTTCCGCGAGTGATGTGAATTCTCTCGCATGTACCATCTCAGTGGATTCTAAGAACTCACTGATGCAGCCACTTGGCAAATACATCCTCGGGGCGTTCTACATGCCTGGCACTGTGCTAACGAAGCGTTCAAGCCAAGATCTCATTCATCTCCTAGGAGGAGAGGTCATGAAGGGTGGTCGGGGTCACAGAGGTGGGATTTCAACTGACACCTGCCGGTTGCCAAAACCAGGCTCTGAATCCTTATGCAATGCTGGGACTCAGGCCCGGATCTGCCTGCTGTGAAGTCCTAGATCTTTCCATTTTATCGTGATCTTGCCCAGTGGCTAAGGAGGATCTGGGGGGTGGGAGGTCAGAGGGGGTCAGGACGGTCAGACTGAGCGGGCGCCAGGAGGAGGTACAGACAGGATTGGATCTTAGGACCGTCCGCAAACACAAGGCCAACAGAAAGAAGGAAGAAGCACGTCAGCAGACGTGAAGCAGACTTCTAGAAAGGATATTCGCAACTGTGACGAAGAATGACTAGCATCCGGACACATTAACTCTGAAATGCGATTCTGCAGACAAGTTGCGACTGCTGTAATGTTGGGTTACAGTATAAAACCTTGCTACTATGGCCGCAAGAGTAGAACAAACTAAGAAAATTTGCCTCCGATTTACATAACTTGTAAAAGAAAAGGTATTTGCACAAAGGGCAACTGGGAGAAGCGGGCTGCTTCTGGTATACGCGATCTAATCACAAAGGTAAGAAACAAACACAACGTGCCCGGGAAGAACACGACCAAACAGCACCAAGCCTCCACCTACAGAGCGACAAGGAAACCCAGACCCTGTGAGCTGGAAATGTAATACTCACTACGCCTTAGACCCTTTATTCTGTCGTACGGTTTTTACCATTTTTACCTTATGTTACTACAATACAATTCAAATCATCCATGTAAAATGTCTTAGCGCTCACATCATTTGAGGAAGAGGATGTTACTGGGTTTAGCAACACTTTCTGTCCCAAGTAATGCACCCGTGAATCTTCAGGGAAAGCACGGCAAGCAAGGGTGGGGGGAGGGCAATGCCCCGTGGGACCCCTGCCGAGGCCAGCCCTATGACCCCAGCAGTCACCGTCTGTTCTAAAACAAGGAGGCTAGCAAAAGACCCTTCTAGAAACTGAATGAATGAATCAATGAACAAAACATAGATTTTTAAAAAACCACCATCCTGGTTTCTCTCTAGAGGTATATTTTCAAGGAGCCCCTGGCTGGCTCAGCAGGTGGAGCACGTGACTCTTGGTCTCGGGGTTATGAGTTCGAGCCCCATACTGGGTGCAGAGATTACTTAAAAATAAAATCCTTGAAAAAGAAGCATGTTTTCTCAAAAGGAGCAATAACAAATGTGAATACAATTGGGAATGAGAAGGTATTTGAGAATTTTTGTTAATCTGGATAGGCGTGCAAGTGCCAGCATTGACTACACAGGAGCGTGTCCCCACTTTCTGGAGACAGATACTGACATAGCTCACATGATTCTGTAACTGACTTTGAAATGACTCAGGAAAGATAAACACAGATGAAACAAAAATGGTGAAATTCTAATAAATGCTGAATCTAGGTGATAAGCTCTTCTAAATCGGAGGTTAGGATGAGAAGAAATCTCTTCATTTTTAGGAATCTGTGAGATATCCTGGGGGGTGGGTAGAGAATTCTAGGTTATAGCACTCTGAATTAACCCTACTGGGGTGAAACCTGATGACCAAAACAAAGGTTGGGTCTGGGTGACCATACACTGTACCGAAGAATTCGCCACCTGCTAACGTTCTAACAGCATTGTAATGAGTTTCCAATTTACCCACAACCAGGCAGGACGCAAGTATACGGTTTTTTATGCACAGCTGATTCTTAACAATGTGGGGTGAGAGGTGCTGATCCCCGCAAGTCAAAAATCCATGTACCACTTGTGACTTCCCAAAAACTAACTACTGAGAGCCTGTTGTTGCCCAGAAGCCTGACGGGTAACACCAACAGTCGATTACCAGGTATTTTGGATGTTGTATGTGTCACATACAGTATCCTTCCAATAAAGTAAGCTAGAGAGAAGAAAACCACAAGGAAGAGAAAATACATTTGCACTCTAAAAGATCCAAGGAAAAGGGACCCGCACAGTTCAAACCCATGTTGTTCAAGGGTCAACTGTACATCTGCATGCCCTTCTTGGGCAATATTTGGAAAAGGATGAGATTTCCAATTTGATTTTTTTTTCAAGATTTTATTTATTTATTTGACAGAGAGAGATCATGAGTAGGCAGAGAGGCAGGCAGAGAGAGAGGGGGGGAAGCAGGCTCCCTGCTGAGCAGAGAGCCTGATGCAGGGCTTAATCCCAGGACCCTGTGATCATGACCTGAGCCGAACACAGAGGCTTTAACCCACTGAGCCACCCAGGCGCCCCCCAATTTGATTTTTTAAAGACTTTTTTTTTTTAAGTAATCTCTGCACCCAGCGTGGGGCTGGAACCCACAACTCTAAGATCAAGAGTCACGGGCTCTGCTGACTAAGCCAGCCAGATGCCCCTCCAATTTGATTTGAAACAAAGTAATTTTTTTTTAAAGACTTTATTTGACAGAGAGAGAGAGAGAGAGAGATCACAAGTAGGCAGGCAGGCAGAGAGAGAGGAGGAAGCAGGCTCCCCGCTGAGCAGAGAGACTGATGCGGGACTCGATCCCAGGACCCTGGGATCATGACTCGAGCCGAAGCAGAGGCTTTAACCCACTGAGCCACCCAGGCGCCCCGAAACAAATTAATTTCTTAACGAGAACAATGAGCACAGGAGGAAGGCACAAGGAGTATGACCAGTGAAACCCCAATGTTAGTCTCATCGGTTTCTCATGAACGGACGCTCATGTTATTAAATAAACAGTATTAAAGAGCTACGGTGTCGGGAAAGCAAGGCGATGCTGATTCTGGAGAGAGAATAAATATGATGTTCAATTGAGACGTTTGAGATGCCGTCAGTCTTGCTAAGAAGGCATGCTGCGGGTAAGGACTGCGCTGAGAGTACTGGGAAGTAGTTGGACCTGGGAAGCTGGTCGTTCCTGTCACTTCCTGGGCACTGTCCAAAGCCCTCAGTGTCCTGATTGCCTGAAACAGGTGCACCCAGGATGCAGGACTAGACGCGCTTTTTCGGGCCAGAAAGACAGCGCCTGCCGTGCGAGATGTCACGCGGCATGTGCTTCTGCTCACCCCATCTTTCCGGCGCCGCGCAGCCCTCGCACGCACACAAACCTTGAGTTGAAACTCTCACAAGTGTTTCGGGGATCCGTATTTTTGGAGGCAGGGGAATGGTCTCCTGCCGAGACCAAATTATCAGCGACAACTTCATAAATCAGGAAACTTCCCAACTTTCCGCCCTGCTGCACGTACGCAAGACAAAATGGTTTTGTCTCGCGCGGCAAGGGGAACCCTGAAAAGCTGGTATCACAAAAGTCCCTTTCTTTCCACTGAATAGAGGAGAGGCTCTCTCTCGCCCGCTCGCTCTGAGTCATGACTCCGAACTGCGGTGGAGACAATAGTGGCTGTGAAAGGCGGCCTGGGCCGGCGGAGGTAGACAGGAAGTCATAAATTCACTTCCCCTCATTTACAAGGTTTGTTCAATAAAGAATACAAGCCTATGTCAGAGTAGTAGCCTTTGGATATCTAACAAAGAGATATTTATACGTTTAAAATAGTGCGGGTGCCCTAGAGGAGCGCGGGCCTAGCTGTCACCGAACACTAACAGCACCCCTCGCGGTGTCAACGTGGCCAGAACAGGGGCCCCAAGGAAACAACAGAATTTTTTAGAAGAAGCTATAGCCAGGGTCCTCCGGGGTTCCTATCCAAAATAATGGCCACACATAAAATGCATTCTGCGAAGCAAAATGAGAAATCAAAACAGAAAATGCACGGGCGGTCTTGGCATAATTACAGTATTAAACTCTTGGGTCCATCTATTAATTCTGCCGCCAAAGAAAGACGGAGCCGTTTTTGCAGAAGCCAAGCCAGGAGATCCACGGCACGGGATTGGGAAACTCTCACCTGAATGTTGACAAACACGCCGTGGTAAGTCTCGTACAGAACTTTGTTGCCCTTCACGTGCAGAGGAAATTCAAAAGGAATTTCTGTTTTGCCGCTGGGAAATTTCCCTGGCTTCACCATTTCGATGGTGCTGTTGATAATCTGGATAGGCTGTGAAGAAAAAGCAATTCGATCTATCAGCATGCACTTTGGATGCATTGCCCAATTACCATGTCTATTAACGATCTCCCGAAAGACACGAGCCTCGGGCCCTCGGAGCCGACCCTCCCCATGCCCTGGCTGGCCCAGGGCTGAGTCTGCAGCTCAGGACCCAGTGGGCTCGAGTTTCTGGCACAACTACGGTTTGTTCACAGTACCAGATGCTTAGGTGTTTGGTGCACATCCAAAGCCATATTTCCTATCCTTTCCCCCAAAAGCTCATTTGCTGTCCTAACAATCCTCCTGCCAGGCACCCCGCACTGCAGGATGAAGCAGCAGAGGCTGCACAGTCAAGGTGCTGGGCCAGGAGGGCCACCGCCAGAACCCAGGGGTCCTCACCAGCCCGTGGGTGCTTTGGACCCCATCCACGGGGAGGAGCGGGCCCGTCCCCGGCCCTGTGCGCCTCCGGGGTCCACTGGGACCCACCCAAAGGCAGGTCTCACCCCTTAACTAGTTCACGTACTCAAAGCCTTGGTTTGGCATCACTCAGAAAATCTACCACTTCTGAAGTGAGCCTCTGAGAGCTTCTGGAAGAAAACAGGGAGACGGGGAAGGCCCTGAATCTGAATGTGGTTCCTGAGAACCCTTCTTTCCTCTGACCTCCTTCCCCCTCGAAGCTCACAGTTAATACGTCCCTCCGGAAAAGGAAACGCTAAGTATAGAAAAAGAGTTTATATTCTGGAACACATACCTCTACCCAAAATGACAAAAAGGAGGGAATGGCCACAGCTCTATCCGCGTCTTACCGGAGCGTCAACTCCAAGAGCTACCGCGTGCACCGTCCTAGCAATGGTTTTGGATTTGGAAGGGCAGTGCCAGGAGCCACAGGCACTTCTCAGGAGGGCTCTGTTCTCTTTAAAGGCTGAATTTAGTGCACTTACAGTTCTCCTAATCCTATCTTATAGGAATAAAAACAGGCAGACTTGCAACAGAATATATTCAGAGGGAAAATATCTGAATATTTCTGCAGTTTGATCAGCAAGTATTATAAGCAGGACCACCACTAGGCCTTGCAAAACATCCACAGGTAAAAATGAAGCCAGAAAACAAGTAAAAACCACCACACGCATCGGGATAACGAACTAAAAATGTGCAACGTCAGCGCTCTTACCTTAACGGAATTATAGAAAGCCTCAAACACTCCCACGCTCTTGGCACTGAGCTGGAGGTTCACACTCCCCTCCACTGTCAAGGACACTCCCTGGTGCTGGATTGAATCCTTCCCAGATATGACCACCACGCCTGAGAGCACTTCCTAGGAGAGCAGAGAGAGCCACCCAGTCAAATTAAGACGTTTTTGCATTCACCTTGTTTATGAGCAGAAGTAGGTCGCCTTAACGAGCAATTTGTTCAAAGGCGCAGACAGTCACTGAGCCACATAGTACAGACCAGAGACCTGGATGCTGGGATGGAACAGCCTCAGGGAGGAACTGAGGGTGCAGGGCGGGGCCAGACTGTGGGGGAGCACTAGGGGGAGTGGGCAGCGGATCTCAGGCCATCGCCACCTGCCCCACAAATGATTCCGCAAAGGGCAAGGAGCTGGGTCAGAGGCAATTGGCAGATTCATAGCCCCACTGCACACAACTATGTATAATGACCTCTTCAGAAAGAATACAATAAAATCCTTTCCTTTGGGTTCTTTCTCAGTTATGCTAAAATGACTAAGGATTTTCTTTTTTTATTTTTTATTTTAAAGATCTTATTTATTTATCTGACAAAGAGAGAGAGAGACAGTGAGAGAGGGAACACAAGCAGGGGGAGCAGGGAGCCCGGTGCAGGGCTCGATCCCAGAACCCTGGGATCATGACCTGAGCCACCCAGGAGTCCCATGACTACGTGTTTTCAAGTGCATAACGTACCCCAACTACTGGCCTGGTCCTCTCTCTGCCAAGGAAGCCTCACTGAGGAGGGGTCTAGAGCTTGTCCACGGAACACATGAGGGCACCCCACCACTTTTGCTAAGTCTTCCCTGTCTCTCCACAGCCCGGGTCACTCTGCAGACACTCAAGCCCAGATTTCCCCGGATCATAAGTCATTTAGGAAAGATTTCACAACAGATCATCTATTCATCTATCTGAAGATAATTACAGAGTGACAGAATATGGACATTATCCTCTCTCCTGGATGGCAGTCTCTTCCTGTCACCAATTGGCTATGGGGGTTTTGGGTGGAGAAGGAAGTTCAGGAAGATGACAGTGTCCTCCGGAGCAGAAAGAGAATCCATAGTAAATTCAAACAACATGTTTGTGAAAATGACCTTCAGAAATGTAGCACGACTGCTGTCAAATGGTAATATGATGGCAGAAAATTACTGACAACCAAACCAAAACCAGAAAAACAGCAAAATTAAAAGGGGCCTGCAGATCAAAGCATTAAAAACCATCTGTCCTATTGTTGTTTAAATCTTTTTATTTCCTCTAGTCATCCAGTGAAAAAACTTTTACCAAGTTCTCACAGTATGAGGAATTTGGGGAGCAGGGAGTAGTCTATGTCCCTTAAATGTGCTAAGTATTTTGTCTTTGTTTCCTACTCCCCTATAAAAAGTGCATAAACAAATTTAAATGAAAATTCCTCTGAAATAATTTGACTTTTAAACTTAATTAAAATTAATTCCATTACTTCTTGTACAACCCAAATTAAATAGAAGTCTAAGTTTTAAAAATTTAAATTCACTAGTATATTTTTACGAATTTACTTGACCAGTGTGTCCCAGAATAAAATGAGCCAAAACAATTGCCACGAACTTTATCACTTGTGCAACACAGCAGCACTCGGGACACTCTGCTCCTATCTAATCACATTTTCAGTTAATCTCATGGGAACAGGATCCAGGCTGACCACCGACTGGCATATTATAGTCGTGACATCAATACCACCTTTCCTTCCCTGCTCCCCATGTTATAAGAAGGAAGCAGAGTACCCTGGAAGGAAGCAGAGTAAATACTTTATGACTCAGGGGACTCTTTTGTCATTCTTTGATTCAATTAAGAAAGAGTAAGTAGAGGGGCGCCTGGGTGGCTCAGTCAGTTAAGCATCTGCCTTTGGCTCAGGTCATGATCCTGGGGTCCTGGGATCGAGCCCCGCATCGGGCTCCCCCTGCTTCTCCCTCTCCCTCTGCCCGCCACTCCCCCTGCTTGTGCATGCTCTCTCTCTCTTACTCTGTCAAATAAATAAGTTAAATATTTAAAAAAGAAAGAATATAGCAGAAATACAACATTAATAAAGTATTTGTTGGTAAGTTTGGCAGGTCTGTTCAATCCCCACCGACACAAGAGGGATATGGAATTTGTCCCAAGTGTAGCCCAAGGAGCCAAGGTACAGAATTTCTTCTTCTTATTTATTTACTTATTTATTTTTAAGAAACAGAAGATAGTTCAACAAAGAGGTAAGGCTCATAGTGACAGGAACCAATTCTTTTATTTGTTTTTCATGGAAAGGTAATTGACATATAACACCTTATTAGTTGTAGGCACCCCAGACAATGCTTGATTAATTCTGGCAAAGGAGCACAGAATGAGCTTGAATAATTAAAACTAGGGGGAAATTCAAGGCCTCGCCAAGAACGTGCCCCTCCCCCTGACTTATGTCCAGAACTCTCAACAGGGAGAAGGATGATGCTGATATATCACCCAATGTCACTAGCAGTGGTCGCTCATAGACTCAGGGACGGGAGCAAACCCCAAAAACGATGCACAAAATCACATGCACAGGTGCTAATTTTTAGAAGAGGCCTGGCTGTCGTCACAGCATCAAAGGGGCCCTGGGCCTGAGAAAGGCCAAGAAATGCAGGCTTGAGTGATGCAGGCCCCACACTTGCACACGTGGAGAAGACTCAAGGGGAGAGACCCTGCCTTGGCTGGCACAGCTCCGCTGACGGGGACTCATGGCCGTGCCATCTGTCACAGCAGCACAGCACAGATGTCCACGGCCACTGCAGGCCGGACACCTGCCCCTCTGTGAAGTGACATGCTGCACCCCAGCTCGACTCTGGCCCAGAGAAGCCAGGTCTGGAGAAAGGCCTAGAACAGCTGTCTTGGGCCGCACACGAAAGCTCAGGCCAGATCAAGCTCCGAGAAGGTAGTGACCACACCCATCTCAGCCACACCGGATTTCTGGGCAGAAACTACCCCAAGCCCATTCAGACACCTCATTCTTCTCGAAGGGAAAAAGGCCACTACCAAACAACACAAACTTTTTCTTTTGTGTTCCCCGGAATGAAATACCAAACCCGTAATTTGGACTCTGGGTTTGAAGATGGTGGCGTCAAGTCAGCATCCCCGCTCCAGCTTCCTGGAAGTCACCCAAAAGAATAAGAACTAAAACCCACAGACTCCATTTTTGGTGAAGCAAGGAGACAGGGGAGGACCATGCCAAGGAGGAAGGGCTGCTGAGGAGCGAAGACCCCGCAGGGCATGCGGTAGAAGCCGAAACAAGGCCCCTTGGCTGTGGAACTCCGCTTCTGGAGGGTGAGGGCACACCTGGGAGCAGCAGCCCTGGTCGCCAGCTTGGCTGGAGCTGTCGGGAGGTCTATGCGGGAAGCAGGCAGGCCATCCCACTGTGAAACCTTCCCCAGCGGATGAATGGTAAAGGATGAAGAAACTCACACATCAAACTCAGCCAGCCTGGTCGAGGGATAAATTCAAGGCCTACAAGAAGAGACATAATCGATGTAAATGTGAGCAAGGGAGGGATGAGAGAAAAATCCAACCAGCAGATGATGAATCCACACAAGACAGATCATGTCGCTCTTCTACTTCAAGGGACTTTATGGCGCTCCCCATCTCACTCAGGGTAAAGGCAAAGTCATTTCAATGGCCTACAAAGGGGTTCCGTCCCTCCTTTGACCAGTCTGTCCTCATCTCTTAACCTTCTCCCTCAGTCACTTCATTTCACTCCTTCCTTCCTCCCTGGCACCCCTCCTAGTTTCTTCGGTGCCTGCAAATTCCAGCCTCAGGGCATTTGCACATTTCTTCCCTCAACCTGGATGCTCGTCCTGCAGGTACCCACATGGCGTGTGACAAAAATTCTCCTCCTAGAGCCTTCCTAGAGCTCTTTTTCAACCAGGCCTTGACTTCTGGACTTCCACGTTCATCTCTGCATGGTCCAACTGTAGCAAGAATTCTGCTAGTTGCTTTAGCTGGCCCCCATATCTGATCACCCTTGCTTGGGTTTCTCATCCTCCCCCAGTGCCCCATTTGAGGTTGTCACCCTGGCCTGCCTTCAGCAAGAATCCTGTTGGGTTGGTTTAGCCAGAATCGCTCTTAGACTTTGAGCCCAATGTCCCCTCTCTGTAATTTTCCACACACTGATGCCTCCTTGCCTGTACTCAGAGTTAAGACTCCCTGCTCAGTGGGGAGTCTGCTTCTCCCTCTCCCTCTGCCCCTACCCCCAATTCATGCTCGCTCTCTCTCTCTCTTTCTAATAAATAAAATCTTAAATACTGAAAGGGTAAATGAATCAGGAATGGTCAAGAAAAGGACAGATTTTAGTAAAATTATTCTACCTCGTAAAAGAAAAGAATCCTTTAGGAGTCAGGCCAAAAGATAAAGTCACTCCCAGAGGGGAGAAAAACCAGACATTTCCATAGCAAGACGCAATTCAAAATGAAGGTACAGTAATGCCCATTATGCTCAACGAACACAGCGTGATCATAGAATTTTATACCCACCTAAACAGTCACTCCACTATAAAGGAGTTTTAAATGTGCAGAAATAAACCCCAAGCAGTAGTGTGTGAAAATCCTCCTCGAGGAATTTACTATATAGTGGACTATAAGCATCCATGGGATGGCTAGAAAAACTGTTTAAAAAACAAAACAAAACCACTTGTAAAGACTGAATCCATTTAATAAGACAAGGAGATATGTGATGATGATGGTAGGAGAAAAGAATGCAAAATACAAGGCCCAACAGTGTAGAAATGACTTAAGTAATAACGCTAGCTGGGAGAGGAAGGGCGCAAGAATGTGGGAGGTAGCATAATGTACATGCTTCCCCCCAACACACACTCACAGCTGGGGCTGACAAATACTCCATGAAAACCATGCTCTCCAGGGTGCCTGGCTGGCTCGGTTGGAGGAGCATGAGATTCTTGATTCTGGGGTCATGAGTTCGAGCCTCATACGGGTGTACAGATTACTTAAATAAATAAACTTAAAAAGAAAAAAGACAACCCATGCTCCCCAATACGGTAGCCACTAGCCATATGTGGTTATTTAAACTCAATTTTATATTAAATAAAATTTAAGTTCAGCCC